GGATTCACATGGAGGACATCAGCGCCGGATGGCTGTGGTGACGACACGGATGGGGAATTCTCGGCGTCGTCCGGCCATGTATACGATTGAGACGGATACAGTGACTTGGATGGTGCCATGGATGGTGCCATGGATGGTGTCGCGTCGGATGCATCCCCGCCATCTGAATCATTGTCACCACCAACGTCATTGCCATCACCATCACCATTGCCATCACCATTACCATCAAGATCGTCAAATCCAAAAGCAGTCGGTGTCATGAATGATTGATCATCACCACCACCACTGGTTGGCGACAGTGACGGAATACCGTCTCCGTCTATTCCCAATGCAGGAATTGAAGGCCTGGCACTAATGGTAGGGGCCATGGACGGAATGCCGTCGTTGAAACCGTCACTGTCATTATTGTCATTATTCCACGGAGCTTCACCATCCTCCTCATTGCCTGACAAACCATCGACATCATTGTTGTCGTTATCCAGCAATGACTCATTGTCTTGGTCTCCTAAAGGATCCCCATTGTCGTTCAAGTCTTGAGCGTTGATGGACGTCGACAACAACAACAACCACAATAATAAACTTATTAGAATTCTGAGGGGAATCCTAATCTGACATTTCTGATGAGCTTTCATTTTGTGTGTTTGGTTGGACTTTCGTTACAGTATATATATATAATAATTTATATTATATACTAGCTGATGCTCTAGCTAGAGCGGGTGTAGCAATAATGGAAGGGAGGAATGATTGGTAGGTGGTTTCTGGATACGTTACAGGAACCTACAGTACAGTATCAGTAACATACAGTATTGTAGTGCACCTTCACTGTTATGAAAAATGCCGAATCTGAATGACGATGATGACGATGACGAAGTCGACTCAGTCGTATATCATTTTGGCTTGCTCGCGATCGCGATCGCGCTCGTGAACGCAAGCCAGCACACACACAAGTGCGCGCGGCAAGCACTAGCTAGTTCCAACACTGCAATTATTGTCCCCGCCTTTCACCTACCGGTACACGTACCAGGTACCGGTACTATTACTGTAATACCGGTACTGTCGCTGCTTACCTTACAAGAAGAACTGGAGGCTGGAGACCACATGCATGTACCATACAGTATTGGCGCGTTTTCAATGAAACTACCACAGTGCAACATCTGCCTCCTTGCCGTAAAATCAACTCCAGCCAGCGGCTATCGGTATGGTCCTCTGTACCTGGTACACCTTGCCGGTACCAGGTACCTTGCCCTATTTTATAATAAAATTATAAAACCTGAAGTGCAAACGCTTCAGTGGACCCAAGCAACTGCGAGCTATTGGAAGTCATTCGAAGCCTTGTGGAGAATCTGCTCTTTCCAGAGGAGGGAATATTTTGCCGACTTTTTTCAAATCTGTTTCGCGTCCAGATAAATAACCAGAAGAAACTTTATCTGGTGCCGTCAAAGTCATGGCACTTTCACGAAAACTAGATTTTTACAGCACAAAAACCGGTCTTTCTGGTCTCCTTGAAAATGTCTGTTTAGCTATTTCAATAAATAAAAA